GAAAAAGGTATATACAGACTCGGTCAGGTATCGAAGAGCGCAGCAAATGCCAGCGAAGAGACGGGAGTTCTTTCGCTGGCTAGATTTTACATCGATATGACAGCGTGTAAAAATGAAAATAAGCGTGTTCCCTATCACGCAAGCTGATACAGACGAACCTTTCTCTGCTCAGGAGTCTTCTCTGAACTGATCCAAATAGTACGGAGTTACACACACTCACAACATCAGGCAGCATGTGAACATTTTGAAATGCTTTCGGATAAAATGAAGCGCCGTAATCCTGGAGCATGCGCAGTTGGACGACGTACAGTCGTAGATATGAGGAAAATTCAGCACCTTTCGTACCACTCGGTTAGCTCGCTCCCGCTCATCAATAAACTCTTTGACCTCGGCATCCAGAGTGAGATAAAACAGCTTCTCTGACAACTTTTAGCAACCTTTTATGTACGTGGTCTTTCCCTTTGCGCATACGTACAAAGTAAAGCGTGAAAATGGCAAATGTTTCAAAGGGTGCACCAAAAAAACTAGCTTACGGTACTTAGTTTGTGAGTTTGTCATTCTGTCTGTCTGTTACTACGTTCTTTTGCCCAACACAAAAGAACTCGGTCAGAGAGCGATTGTAACAGGTTAAAGGGGGCGTTAGTCGATTTTAGGTTTTTATAAATATACTGCGCTCAAATGTTATGGCGTGAAAACCTAGTGAACAAGCAAATATGCAAATTACCATTGGCTTACCTTGACAACCTTGCATACTATGGAAGCACCAGTTGTTACAACAGAAAGCGAGTGTCAAGCCTCACGATACCTAACACTGTCTGCAAGTGTAGCTAACTGTTGAAAGTTAGCTACAACCATCAAGTAATCGACAACGTACATGTAGCCGAGTCCTAATGCTGAACCGTTCCATCCGCAAAGTGAATGATTCATCAAAAGATAAAGTCGTCGTTCCAAGGCAAAGCAGAGGAAAGGAAGCACCTAAACAAAATGAGGCAAGTGATTTTAACCATGCCTGTAGGATACGAGCTGCTCATCAGTTAGTGATACCGACCTGCACATACATACAGAGTACACTGTGCCATTGGTCTGAGGTTTGTCTTTGTCTTGTGTGATTTGAACCTCTACCAGCTGAGTTGCCCTGGTAGCTCAGTGCTTGCCTAGAAAGCAATGTGTGAGTTGGTTTGAATCCCACCTGGGGCAGACCTTTTTTCGTAGTTGCCCAGGGTGCAGTTAATTTGTTTGCTTTGCCTTTGACTGTCTACCTCTTTGTTGCCATATCACTGTGCATGAATAATTCTTAAATCGGATCAGATTCTCATTGTTGCTCCAGCTTATTTTTTTTAATGAAAAGCACTAAAGTGCAAACCCTCGGCGAACTGCGCGTGCACATTGATGGGCTGGGCCTATTAGTATGCATTTACACCTGATCTCCCGCCAGTAGCTCGCAGAGAGTCTGACACGGGCTAGCTACAGTAGTAGATAGCATGCGGGAGTCAATACGCGCCCTTCGTTGTGGCTTCTTGTGCCTCAGAGGTGCACAGAGCAAGCGGATCAGGTCGAAGTAAGCTAGTGCTAATTAGCATATTGGCTTGTTCACTCGGTTTTCACGCAATAACTTCTGAATGTGGCACTTTTACGAAAATCGCCATTTTCAAAATCAAGCCAATGTAGAACTGAACCCGTTGATGTCGCTATTTTTATTTTACCTGTTTGTTGCACGTAGTGGCAGAAAACGTGGTAACAGACGGACAGACGGACAAACCAAGTACTGCAACCCTCGCTGCGCATGCTCGCCGAGGCTTTATGCATAAACAATGAAAAATACTAAAGTGCAAACCCTCTGCAAACCCGCTAATTGAGTGGCTGGGCTACAAGTAGTATGGGTTTACTCACGGTCTCCGGCTAGTAGCTAGCGGAGAGTCTGACACGGGCTAGCTACAGTAGTAGATAGCATGCGGGAGTCGATACACGTCCTTCGTTGTGACTTCTTGTGCCTTCAAGATCCACAGAGCAAGCGGACTCGGTCGAGGTAAACCTGTGCTAATTTGCATATTGGCTTGTTCACTTGCTTTTCATGCCATAACTTTTTAACGGAGTAGTTATACGAAAATCACCTTTTTTAAAATGAAGCCAGTGTAATCACAGAAAACGTGGTTACAGAGAGACAAACAGACAGACACACTTACGAGACAACTACAGTAACCCTCGCTGCGCATGCGTGACAAGGGTTAATGATACATCATAGGGGAAAACTGTTCAGATTCCAAAAACAAAAAATGGTTTGACTTTAATTCATGAAGCTGAAGAGAGAAAAAGAGGATGAGGGCTAAGTAACTAAACACAATGAAAAGAACTCGCCGGTGCATAACGCTTTCCGCTTAATAATGACACGCATTCATCTCATGCAGCAAACAGAAGGGCTAGGTGATTTGCACACTCTGGTTCCTCTGTACAACAGGTACCCCAGTACAGTCTGTCTCAATTGAAACACCTGTCTGAAGTGTCCATACATATGCATGAGTGTCGTGGGTTCGAATCCCACCCAGGGCAACTCTTCTTCTTTTCTTTGAAAAGAAAGAGCTGTCCTGGGTGTATTTGAGTTGTTTGCTTTGCCTTTCTCCCTCGCTACCAAGTTGTTGAGACACATGCATCACCTATAACACCCGCTGCTCCTATCCCTAACATGCTCACTCCTTAACCAACGAGGTGAGGCCATCCTATCATCTTTCGTGCTCGTCACGGCCCCAGAATATTGCTGTACCAAGAATAGCTAATACCCACCACGAAGTCCCGTTTTGATGTCAGACCTGCCGCAGCAAACGAGAAAAAACAATAGACATATGGACAGACACAGACAAAAACTGACTGATTACTAGAGCCAGCAATAAGGTTGTTGTTTTGTTCAGACGAAATGCCAGACAGTTGTTAAATTTGGCCCATCCTAAGAACCTCCCTGACAGGTAGCATAAAAGCTTGAGGTGAAGCTGATACAGTAATTTACAGTGCACTTGTTAGTATGTACACTGTTGCTGAGTTACTAAAAAGTTGTTATCACTAAGTAGTACATAGGGATGAGAATGGTACCTAGCATCATAGATGTATGGGGCTATGATAGGGAGTTTTGTTCATCTTCTCGAAATAACATAAAGTAATGAAGAAGATAGGTAGGAGTTATGTGAACGAAACTTTGTAGACATAACGTATTAAATCACCAACATCAAAATTAGAACAATACATGTTTGTAAACAACAACAAATAGCCTCAGGCTAAATTTACTCCTTCACTCTCCAATGGTAGCACACATACAGATGAAACTTTGTACGTATGCCTATTATATCATTTCCATGACGACCGCATTTTGTTTGAAAAAAGCCTCATGCAAGTTTCTTTAACACCACTTCTTCACTCCTCAAACTTGCTAATTGTAGCACGCATGGAGGTGAAACTTGGTGCACATGTGTATTACATCGTTTCCATGATGACCACAACAACAAATAGCCTCAGGCACTTTTCTTCCTCGAACTTGCTAACTGTAGCACACATGGAAGTGAAACTTCGACCACAACAACATATAGCCTCAGGCACTTTTCTTTAAAATTACTTCTTCACTCCATGCTACACATGGAGGTGAAACTTGGTGCGCATGTGTATTACATCGTTTCCATGACGACCACAACAACAAATAGCATCAGGCACTTTTCTTTCAAATTACTTCTTCACTCCTCAAACTTGCTAACTGCAGCACACATGGAGATGAAACGTGGTGTGCATATCATATCCATGACGACAACAGGCATTTTTTCTCTATTATTAATTTTTATAGGGGCTTGCCCCCTTCCACAGAGATAATACGTAGTAGTATATAAAAATTAGTGGAGACAAGTAAATTAAAAAATCCAAGAGGCATTATAGGGATGGTATAAAAAGAAAGGGAGACAAGATAGGGATGGGATACACGAAGGAACAGATTTGAGTATGCTGACACCCCAACCCCATCACACAATCCCTATATTGTTGCCTCGGTGAAGTATTAAACATTCACCATTACTATACTCAGAACTTGCAATACACTACTGAGTAACCAACACCCTTATAGAGTCCAAGTGGAGTTTAATTAAACGGAATGTGGCAGTATAAATGTTACTAAAAATAACAGGGACACGGTGAAAGAATGCTTGCTTTTAGTAACGTTTAGCCCCTATAAGAGTAGCACACCAGGCAACAATATAGGGATTGTGTGATGGGGTTGGGGGTGTCAGCGTACTCAAATCTGTTCATTAACCATCCTTCATGTATCCCATCCCTATCTTGTCTCCCTTTCTTTTCATACCATCCCTATATACCTCTTTTTTAAATTCGCAGGACTTTTAATTTACTTGGATAAACTTTCTATTCCAGTGTTTTGTAAAATAATATGCAAAACACACAATGACCGTAACGTAACACATGCGGAAAAAATGACCACGCAAAATTGTGACTGCACAGACACTAGGCAATATTGCATAAGACGACCAACAATTAATGCGAGCTCTGGACTACATGCGCACAAGCAAGGGTTATTATACACAAATTTTAGCTTTCGTACACATGTGCGAGTCCTCGTGCACAAGCAAGCGTTATATTAGACTTTGTACATATGTGTGGGTCATGGCAGCGATAAAACAAGTGTATCTGCAAGTGCAGTGATAAAACAAGTGTGTTGTAAGCTAGAGTTGATGTGGACAATATGCATGCGTATACAAATAGATGGCTGGGCTTTGCTCACAGAGAAACCGCCAACATTTTTGGCTCTAACCCAGGATAGCTGCATCAACAGGTAGCATTAAGAGTAATGTTGCACTGCATACACATCATGTTTTCATGTCAAATCACAGTGTGTGAAGAAGCCAGTGTGATTATGCATATTGCGTATTTTTACATGAGGCCGTTAAAAAGAAGATTTATGGTATATACCTTCAGTATTGGTTTAAGTGTAGTAACAAAATAATGTCTAAAAGACTTACTCTGGCCACATGAGGAATGCTGCACTGTGTCCTTTCTTTTCAATGATGCCCTCTTTCAGAGTTCGTGGTATGACAGTAGAGGGGTGAAGAGGATCAGGTGGTGGCATAGCGAATGGAGATGGTGACAGCACAGACTTCAACTCTAAAGGGTAGGTATGGTTAAAAAGAACTCTGTTGTGCTAACTTTG